ATTTTTTTCATGTGTCTATTAGCCATCTTTCTTTCAACCCAGAGGCACCTCTATAGATGAATGGATCGAGAAAATGCAGTATATATACACAATGTAATTCTATGTCTCCATCAGAAAGAATGACATTGCCTCATTTGTTAGGAAATGGAAAGACTTGGAAAAAAATATATTAAGTGAAGTAAGCCAGGCCCAAAGAAACATAGGTCCCATAGTTTCCCTTACTTGCGATAAGCAGTGTATTTCTGAGTCAAGCAGAAAAGGTCAGATAAATTGATGTTAGGGAAATGAAGGCCAAGATAAGTATTCAAATGGTTTTTCTTCTTTCATGCAATTGTTTCTAACATATTTATTAGATGTTTTCTTTGTTGTTTGTATGTCCTTCCCCCATGGTATAACCCCTGCTTTCACTGTATTTGATGTTGGTATAATTTGTGGAGGGGAAGGGAAAAAACAAATCCTTTAAATAGGGATTTAGGTGGACCCATTGCAACAATGAGATGTACAAGCCGTTATGTCCAAAAATGAAGTTTACAACTTTGGGGGGGTAGATTTAGTGGGGAGTGTGGGAGGGGGGTATGGGAAGGGTTGTGAAGGGGAAACAAAGAGGAGGCAACAATGCTTCATAAGAAATGTACTCATTATCTTGCCCATGTAATTGTAACCCTTCTATCCGGTATTTTCACAGTAAAAATAAAAAATAAATAAAATTGTGAAACTGAGCAAATGACTTTCGTGAATTTTAGGGTGATTTTTTCCCTTTTGTCTCCAAGATGTGGTTTCTTCCTTTAGAAAACCAATGTTAAAAAGATAAAAAAAAAAAAATAGGGGCTGGGAAGGTGGCTCCGTGGTAGAGCGCTTGCCTTGCATGCCTGAGGTCCTGGGTTCGATTCCTCAGCACCACATAAAGAAAAAAGCCAGAAGTGCCTCTGTGGCTCAAGTGGTAGAGCGTGAGCCTTGAGCTGAACAGCTGATTGACAGCACCCAGGCCCAGAGTTCAGGCTCCATGACTGGACCCCAAAAAATAAAAATAAAAAATAAAAAAGCTGGGCACTGGTGGCTTTGGCTTATAATCCAAGCTATCCAGGAAGCTGTGATCTGAGTACTGCAGTTTGAAGCCATCCCAGGAAAAATCGTCCAAGACTCTTATCTCTACAAACATTCTGTCAAGCTGGGTGCTGGTGGGTCATGCCTGTAATCCTAGATACACAGGAGATTGAGATCTGAGCATCACATTTCAAAGTCCATGAGACTATTATCTCTAATAAACCACTAGAAAACCAGAAATTCAGCTTTGCTCAAGTGGTAGAGTGTTAGCATTGAGGTAAGTCCCAGTCCCTGAGTTCAAGCCCCAGGACCCACAAAAACAAAACAAAAAACTACTCAGACAATGCTGTAAGTGCACTGTGGCTCTAGTGGTTGAGCACCAACAATGAGCATAAAGAGGCTCAGGACTAGTGTCCAGGGGCTAAGTTCAAGCTTCAGGACACACTGGTGGGGAGAAAAAGGGAATATCCCAAGTGGAAATACAATGTATTATGTGATGGTTAACAATGCTTAAATTATCCAAGGCTCAGAGATGTGTTTTACAGCAGTCTTTTTAATGTTTACACATGACCTTCATAAACTATCCACATGTTCACTTATTCCAGCCATTTTGGCCTTTAGAGATAGAGAATATAGAAACCCTAAATGCCACTCTTCCTCTGAACACAGCATGGCCTATCGCCTAAATCTAAGGCACATCTGTAAATGAAGATAGAAACCAAGTCTGTTCTGAGAGGCAAACTTCAATCTTGACCTTACAAAAGGGAACGACCCAAAACTTCCATCTGTCATCATTTCTTACAGAGAAAGAAAATAATAGCAAGGCAAACACAATACGAAAGCAAAGAAGAATAGCATAAGTGTAAACGCAAGTTATAAAAAGAGAAATAGAAAAGTCAGTGAGCTGAGCAGTGGTGGCTCATCCCTGTAATGCTAGATACTCTAGAGGCTGTCTGAGGATTGCAGTTCAAAGCCACACAGGCAGGAAAGTCCATGAGATGCTTATCTTGAATTAACAACCAGAAAACAGGAAGTTGCATGGTGGCTCAAGTGTTAGAGCACTCACCTTGAGCTGAAGAGCTCAGGGACAATGTCTAGGACCAGAGTCAAAGACCCACGACTGATGTTAAAAAAAAAAAAAGAAAGGAAGAAAGAAAAGTCAGTGAACCCCAATGTTGGGTGTTTGAAAAGACCACCAAAGAATTGTACAAAACTTTTACTTAGATTGGCAAAGGAAAAACCAGAACATTCCAATTACTGAACCAGAAATGGAAGTACACACATGATTCCTGACCTGTAGAAATGCAAAACAGAGGCAGGAAAGGTGGTTCAATTTTATTATTTTAGCTCTTCAGGAGGCTGAAATTAGGAGAACAAGCACAAAAGTCCACAAGACTCCATCTCCAAAATAGCTTACAACTGGGCACAGGTTGCTAATGTCTGTCATCTTAGTTACATGGAAACTGAGGTCTGAGGATCAGTGTTTGAAGCCAGACCAGGCAGAAAAGCCTATGAGACTCTTACTTCAAAATAACCACAGAAAAACTGGTAGTGAAGCTTAGGCTCAGATGGTAAAGAGCTAGCCTTGAGCAGAAAAGCTCAGGGACAGCACCCAGGACCTGAATTCAACCTCCTGGAATGGCCCAACAAAAAAACAGAATAAAAGACAGGAACAAAGTCCAAGGCTGGAGTCATGGCGAAAGTAGTAGAAGACCAGCAGAATAAGCAGTTTAAACTACCAGAGGCTCTGAATTCATGTACTTGTACATGCAGAAAAAGAAAAAGAAAGAAAGAAAGACAGATGGATACACACACACACACACATACACAGAGAGAGAGAGAGAGAGAGAGAGAGAGAATGGATTCTAACAATTACATATAATTAGGAATGTTAAAATATCTAGGAACACTACCTCTGACAAAATTGACTCAAGGAAGCAGACATTGTTGACAAATGCATATAATTGTAGCTAATCAGGAGGCTGAGATCTGAGGATTGCTGTTGGAAAGCAGCCATGAAAAGAAATCCATCAGATTCTTATCTCCAACAAAGTACTCAGAAAAAACCAAAAGTGGTGCTATGGTTCAAGTGGTAGAGCACTAGTCTTGATCCAGCAAAGCTCAGGGACACACACATGACCTCAGTTCAAGCACCAGGACAAGAGAAAAAAAGGACCAAGAAAAGAAATATTGAATCAAGAAATAGCAGGAAATCTGAATAACTGAAGAAGAGATTGTATCTGTAGTATAAAGCCTCCCAACACAGACAATCCCACAGACACTCACAAACACACACACTATCACACACAGTTGTTTACCTATATTTGAATCACCACAATGAAATTATATATATTCTAATAACAGATTATAGTAATTTAATAAAACTAAACCTTGTGAAACTTTGTCAAATGCAATGTACATTTTACTTGAACATTGACTAAATCATCTTCAGGATGACTGGATGAGGCTAGGCCTCACACTGAGTCTGTCATAATTTTTAGGACATGGATGAAATTCTGGGCTGGTCCCAGGTTACATTTATGAACCAGCAGTGACACAGGTTTTCTGCTTGACCTGACACCATGTCTCCTGCTCCAGGTCAAGTATGGCGGATGTCTTCAGACCTCTGAAATACTCATGATGTAGAGGAGAGACCTTACAAGAATACTCTTCTACTGAAGAGTATTCTACTACTGAATCTTCTACTGAAGATGCTGGATCTATATATGCTTCAAGGTAGTATATTTTCAGGTGCCTATGTGACAAACCAATAAGTAGTAACACTTTAGTTTTGTGCTAAGTATTGAACTTTATTTCCAAATTTAATGCTTCTACTCATTACACATACTCAGCACAATTCATGACATCATGAAGAAAAATCAAGTGCAATTCCTGCATAATATGGTGAAAACATTCATCTTCTGGTATCTCAGTTACTGTAAATTAGCAATTGTACCTTATGCAATACTTGTTTAGTGAACTAACAATAAAAGATAATTAGGCCACATGAACTACATTGAAATTTTCTATAACTTCATTTTATTTGAGATTCAGGCAGGACCTGCGTAGGCAGCCACTGAGATACTCCCATAGCCTGCTTTCAGTCAGTTTCACACAGATGGTTACATAACACCTTCTATTATACACTCACTTTATAACTTCAAAGATAAAATTTTATGTCAGGCTCTGGGGACTCAGGCCTGTAATCCCAGCTACTCAGGAGGCTGAGATCTGAAGATTAGAATTGGAAGCCACCTGGCAGGGAAGTCCATGACACTCCTCTCTCGAGTAAACTACTCAGACAACATCTGAAGTGGTGCTGTGGGCCAAATACGTACAGTGCTATCTTTAAGCAAAAGAGCTCTGGGAAAGTGTCCAAGCCCAGAATACAAGCCCCACAACTAACAACAACAACAACAACGATAATGATGATGATGATAATATTTCTCAAAGACTGATCCAAGTTGGATACAGTGGATCACAGATGCAAGGGTCAATCAGGAGGATTCAGATGCAAGGCCATCCCAGGAAAAGTGTTCACAAGATTCCCCCTCCAATACTAGCTGGGTGTGTTTGTGTACACCAGATATCCCAACCATCTGTAAGGCTGAGAATGGGATGGTTGTAGTGATAGGTCAACCTGGGGAAAAAAAAAACAATTCCCTAAGACTCTATCTAAAAAGTGAAATCTCAGGATCTCTGTTCACATCTGTCATCCCAGGTACTTCAGGAAACACACAACAGGAGTATGGGGATGCAGCCTGACCTGGTATAAAGTAATGGTATAGCTCAAAAATAACCAGAGTGAAAAAGGACAAGACCAGGTCTCTAGTAGTAGAGCCCCTGCCCTAGCAGTGCAGAGTATAGTGTGTAAATGCCACTGCTGCAAAAATAAAACTATGAACCAATTGTAAAATTGAATGTAATGGTTGATTTGAACGAATCATGAAAATCTTTTATTCAATGCAAGAATGAAAAACCTGAGTGATACGATTGTCAGTGCTGATGAGCACAAAGGGGCTGAGTACAGAGAAACATGAACCCAGGAACACAGACATGTCCACCAGCCACAGGTCTGGTTTCATATGTAGACCAACAAAAAGAGTGAACATGGCAGAGAGGAAGTAGAAGGAGACGAACATGCTCACCAGGGTCAGGATGGTGCGTGTGGCCTTGGCCTCATGGTCAGGTCTTCGGGAGGCAATGTGGCTGTGAATGTGCTGGACCCTCTGCTTGTGTCTGTGCAGGACAAGGACCATGGAGCCACTGGCCCACATCATGAAAACCAAGCACATAATATCAATGGAAAGGAATAAGACTATTTGTGACAAACGTACAAATGGTTTTGGTGTAGTTGGTCCTATGGCACAGTATCTATAATGCATGTGCAGAGTGACATTTTGCCTGTGTGTTGGGCCAATCACTCTCAGAGGCACATAAACATTTACCAGGACCTGCAGAATCCAGAAAAGGAAACCACAGATTCCAAAGCAGTTGGGGAATGTAGTAGTGATCTTCCACCAAACATTTCTAGTGCAAAGCTTTGAGACCTGGAAACCACTCAGAAGGCAGGTGGTGTTAAGAGAAACTCCTTTGGCTACTCTGCGGAAATACAAAGCAACTTTACATGCGGCATCATCGAGAAAGTACTTCCATCCAATTCCTGCCATCGTCTGAGGAATCCCAGTTGATAAAACAACCACGTAGTTTGCAAAGACCAGATGGCAGAGGATGGGGTCTGTGGGCCTCACCTTCTGTCTAGTGAGGAGAGTGTAGCTGTAAAATCAAAGGAGACATGAGTTCCCCAGGACTCCGGCTCCAGTCTGTGTGAGGAAGGCAACCCCCATTTCAATGTCGGCTTTGGCCATCTCTTCTTCCAGAAGTGGAAGTGTGTCTCAACTGACAGAACTGCAGCCTTGAGTGAAAACCTAAGCAAGAGATGGAGGCCCTCAGTTTAAAGCTTTCAACTGGTCATCCCACACCACTGTGGTGTTTGAATGCTCCAGGCTCTTCCGTGACTCATGGACAACTAGGACTCTCAGTCTCTCTGCTCCTAAACAATTCTAAAGGATGCAAAAAAGCATATATTAAGGGCCCCTTACTCATGTACATACAAGCATTTGCCCATGAAATAGAGTTTCTGGTTAAAAGTTTTAACTTAGAAAAGAATCTCCTAAACTAGGCACTCAAATGTGTAATCCTAGTAACTCAGAAGACTGAGACCTGTCGATCAAACATTGAAACCACCCAAACTCCAGGAGACACTTATTTCCAAATAACCACCAGGAACACTGAAGTGGCACTGTCTCAAATGGTAGAGCACTAGGCTTTATTAAAATGGCTCAAGGACAGAGCCCAGGCTCTGAGTACAATTGGGTGACTGACAAAAAAATAAGAAGTATGAGTGCAAGAACAATGAGAGAAGGCAGAGGGAGAGGAAACAAACTGAGGAAATTAGTGGGAATTGGAATGACAAGCCAAGACATTAAAATTAATATCAACAAGCCTCTTACATTCGTATCATAAATAGTCATGTCACAGATTATTCCTTGACAAATCTCTTCCAATGTATATCTTCAAATAATATGTGATTACATTAAATGTAAGTGTAAATCACATTGAGACATTACTCATGACAGAAACCATATAGAGGTGTATCAGATCATTTGAGCAGAGAATGCTCTACCCCTGAGCACACAAAGCTGTGTGGTCTCCAGGATACAAAGCATGTGAAGCTGCATCAAAACTGCTAACTGAGGCAGGAGAGAGGTCTGTGATTTTCACCAAACATTTTTCCTAAAATACAAGACATTTGTCTCAATGTAACCTCACACAACACACACATTTTACAGAGAAGTTACTTCTGCATTTTCTTGATGAGTTACATTAACCACTGTTACTTACCTGAGAAGAATAGCTGCTTACCCAGTAAGAATTGGCTGTCAGGACAGAGGAGCAGAGGCAGTGGTCACAGCATGTGTGCTCAGCCACGGATCCCCAAGAAAAAGGCTCAGGACTCCATGATCTCATCTCCTCTGTGGGCATGCTCATCATGTCACCTGGAAGTTTTCTGACACTGCGTGCATGGGGAATACAGTTTCCCTGTAACAAACACTGGAGAATTGTGGATTCTGATGAGCATCACTGAAATTCCATGACCATTTCCAACCGATGTGACCCACGGTGAGGAAAGTCAAGGGAATATTTGGAAACTTTTTAAGACAATCTCATTAGCAGTTAGTAGAGGAAAATGAAATCTATTGTGTAAGTGTGTGACACTGTAGGAATGGCTTTGGTAAATATGTAGGTTTTTTCCCTTTGTCTCCAAGATACAATTTCTTTCTATAGCAAAGAACCATGATTTTTAAACAAATCCAAGCATCTGTGGCTCATGCCTGTAATCCTAGTTACTCAGAATTGTGACATCTGAGGATTGGATTTCAAAGGAAGTATAAGCAGAAAAATAGATGAAACTCTTACCTACAATAAACCACTCAGAGAAAGCTGGAAGTGGTGCTGTGGCTTAAGAGATAGAGCACTACATAGAGGAAATAAGACCCTCAGGGGCAGTGCCCAGGCCCTGAGTTCAAGCCTTAATACATATTTTAAAAATGTACTCATTACCTTTCTCATTTAACACTAAATCCTCTGTAAAGTATTTTCACAGTAAAAAATACATAAAATAGGTTATTTCCCAAGTTGAAGTGCTATGTCTTGATCAATATTCAAATAATCAAGGCTCAAAGTTTCACAGTAGTCTTTTTCATGTTTCCCCAGTATCTTCATAGATACCTTCATAGGCTTTTCATGTGCTCACTTATTCCAGCCATTTTGACCTTGTGAGATACAGGGAATATAGAAATTCCTTCCTCTGAACACAGCATGACCATATTGCCTAAAACTAAGAGGCATCCATAGATGAAACCAGAAACCAGGATGGTGCTAAGAGGGAAATATATAACTTAGATCCTGTCATTACAAAAGGAAAGACCAAAAAGTCTCCACCTGTCATCACTCTTTACAGAGCAAGAAAATAATAGCAAGGAAACACAATATCGAAATAAAAAAGAAGAACTTAACTATGAATGCAAGGTGAAAGCAGAACAATAGAGATAAAAATCAGAGAAACCAAAGGCTGGAGGTTTGAAAAAAGCCAAGGAAATGGACAGAAATTTGGTTAGATTGGTTACGATATAACCAGAAGACTCAAATTACTGAAGCAAAAATTGAAATGCAGATATGATTCTTGACCTGTGGAAATGCAAAACAGAGCCAGGAAAGGTGTCTTAGGCTTAGGATGCTAGCTCCTCAGGATGCTGAAATTAGAAGGATTACAGTTTAAAACAAGAACAAGAACAAAGTGCACAAGATTCCATCTCCAAAATTGCTGACAAGCCTCGTACACGGGGCTCATGTCTGAAATTTTACCAGTTCAGGAGGCTGAGGTCTGAGGATCAGTGTTTGAAGCCAGCCCAGGCAGAAAAGCCTGTGAGACTCTCATCTTTGATTAACTACCAACTAAGCTGGAAGTAAAGCTGCTGCTCAGATGTTAGAGAACTAGCCTTGAGCATCAAAGTTCAGATACAGCACCCAGGCCCCAAGTTCCAACTCAGGACTGACACAAAAACAAAAACAAGAAGAAAAACCTGGGCTGGAGGCATGGCTTAAGTGGTAGAGTACCAGTTGAGTGAACAAGTTTAGCAAGCATAGGGCCCTGAATTCAAGTCCTGGCACAAGAAGAGAAGATACAGAGAGAAAATGGATTCTAACAATTACAAATGACATAAACTAGGTGAAAAGTATTCAAGTTTCTAGGAACAGTGCTCTTGTCATAATTGACTGAAGTAGGATGGGTGCTGACGGCTCACACCTCTAGTCCTAGCTACTCAGAAGGCTGAGGTATGAGAATCACAGTTTGAAGCCAGCCCTGGCAGGAAAGTCTGTGACACTCTTCTCTCCAAGAAACAACTCAGAAAAGGCCAGAGGTGTCACTGTGGCTCAAGTGATAGAGGACCAACATTGAGCCATAGAAGCTCAGGGACAGCATCCAGGCCCTGAGTTCAAGCCCCAGGAAAAGAAAAATTGACTCAAGAAATAGTAATAAGGAGAACAGAGATTGCATCTCCAGTACAAAACCACCCAACACAGAAAAGCCCACAGATACACACACGTGCGCGCACGCGCGCACGCACACACACACACACACACAGTTTATTTACCTTCATTTGTATCACAACGGGAAAAAAACAGTTTTTGCTAATTTAATAAAGTTATTAATTGTGCATTTTTTGCCAAATGCAAATACATATTCATTGAACATCGACTAAATCAGCTTTGGGATGACCAGCTGATATTATGCATGAGGTTAGGCCTCACATTGAGTTTGTCCTACTTTTAGGACAAAGATGGAATTCTGGGCTGGTCCTGCATTACATTTAGGAACCAGCAGTGACACAAGTTTACTGCTTGATCTGCTCCATGTTGACTGGTTCAGATCAAACATGGATGTCTTCAGATTGCTGAAATCCCCATGATGCACAGGAGATACCTTTCTACACTACTCCTCTTACCTGAAGATGCAGAATTTAAGTACATTTGAAGTTAAGGTTTTCAGGCATCCAAATGAAAAACACAACATTTAATACCATTTTGTTTTGTGTTAATATTGAACTTTATTTCCAAGCTTAGTATTTCCAAATATTACAATTATACAACACAATTTATTAGGTAATGAAGAAAAATTAAGCATAATTTCTGTATAGTAGTGGGGAAAGATTCATCTTCTGATTCCTCTGTTACTCCTAAGAAGAAAGAATTTGTCTTTCCTTATGCTTCATTTGCTTAGAGAACTAAAAGTAAAATATCATTATGATTCAATAACTTCATTAAAATTTTCATAGCTTTATTATATTGTAGCTCTGTAAAAAAAAAAATCAGGGTCTTCCTAGGTCTCCTTGGTGCAGGCTGAAACTTTCTTAATAGAGACCCGGAAACACAACAAATCAAAGAAAGGTTGGACAAATGGGATTGCATCAAGTTGCAGAGCTTCTGCATGGCAAAGGACATAGCTGTCAAGATCAATCGAAAGCCCACGGATTGGGAGAAGATCTTCATTAGCCATACAAAGGACAAGGGTCTCATATCTAAAGTATACTTGGAACTCAAAAAATTAAAACCCCAACAACAAATACTCAAAGAAAAACTGCCCAATAAATAAGTGTGCTAAAGACTTAAAGAGAAACTTCTCTGAAGAGGAAAGAAGGATGGCCAATAGACACATGAAGAAATGCTCAACCTCCTTAGCCATAAAAGAAATGCAAATCAAAACAACATTCATATACCACCTCACCGTATTTAGAATGGCAAAAATCAAGAACACTAATAACAACAGATGCTGGAGGGGATGTGGACAGAAGGGAACCTTACTTCATTGTTGGTGGGAGTGTAAACTTGTTCAACCACTTTGGAAAGTAGTATGGAGGTTCCTCAAAAGACTCCACATAGAGCTCCCATATGACCCAGCAATCCCACTTTGGGGCATTTACCCAAATGTTTACAAACAAGGCCACACTAAAGCTACCAGAACAACTATGTTTATTGCAGCATTATGTACCATAGCTAAGATATGGAACCAACCGAGATGCCCCTCAGTAGATGAATGGATCAAGAA